TTCACTTTCAAATGATGATGTTAATCCTTTACCGAGCTATGCAAATTTCCTTCTTTTTAAGCTTCCGGAACGCAAAGCTAGTAAATGTGTTTGTATGTCACTCGCTATGGAGCAAGAGTAGTCGGTCTCTGGGTTGCTCCCACAGAGGACAGCTCCAGCGGCAGCCATCTTGAAAGTGGTGGTATCGCCCTGGCACAGTATGTTTCTGTCTGAAGGCGTTCCGTCTGCTTCAGAATCGCAACGTTCCACGTCTCCGATATTTGTCTCTCCCTTTTTTCCCCACCATCTTTCTTGCCTTCCCCTGTCTCAGCCATGCAAATAGTCTCATTTGCAAACCTAAAAAAACAAGTGTGTGGATGAGGGGTGGGGGCTGAAGAGATGAACTACCAGCCAAAGAAGTTGTCCCCCCTTATAGCACATACACGTCCTCCGCCCTGCACCCTATCGTCTCGTTATCCTCCCCAGCTCATTTGAATAAATTAGCACCCCTTGGTGTATTTTGTGCATGCGCATGTGCTCGCATGCAAAAACACACACACGTGCACGCACATTCACACTCATGCAAACACTTAGCAATGCAAGCGCGGTACGGTAGGATGGCAGCCAGAATTCTATGTCCTGTGCTTTCCCGTCATGCAGACACATGGTCACGTACGCACACATCCTCTGATGTGCTGATACACTTTAACGCATCTGCTACAACAATCACGCATGCTCGGTTTAAGGCAAATACACTCCATTGGTTGGTAGCTTCCTATTAATGTACTGCAGCATGGTGGTGTGTGATTCATATTAGCCTAATGCAGAGGCTTGTTCACACAAAAAATGCATGCAGATCCAGTTATCCTGCTTTAGCACGCCCGTTAACTTTGACCATATTCTGAACTGCCTCTTAATGTAAACTGTAGTTTTGGTATTTTTAGATTCTATTTTCACTCTTCTAAAGGATAACTCCTTCAACTGACCCATCAACAAATGACCAAATGCAGCTTTTCCCTGATCCTCAAAACATAATTTAACCCCATCATTTGTTTTCCTGCAGTTCTGCTCATTTTGATCCCTGTGACCTTGCATCAGGCTTAAGCAGCAATACCATGTACCCTCTTCCCTTCTTAATTCTAGCCTTTCTAAGGTTTCATTGGGCTGAGGGGCTGTGCATTAATACTGGATACATTAACGCTAATATGATCCTAGCATGTAGTCAGGGCCTGAGGGGAGCTGTGATTGTCTGAACATTAACATTAACATCGACATTAACTCATCTGCCTCACTCTCTGTCTGCACCTTGCCCCTCCCTCAGCCTTCTCTGTTTCTCTTCCACCCTCCTCGCCCAAACTCTCTTCTTCTCTTTCTCTTAATACACTTGCTTCCCATTTTCTTCCCTATCTCCGGGCAGCGATGAAGGAGGGATGGAGATGAGTCACATTCTGCTGTGGTTTTTAGCGGTGTGGTGGCACCCTGTCCTGGATCCTGTCCACAGTGACAGCCACTAGAGCTGTCAGGGAGCTGCTTGCTTTTTCTCTGGCCTGGCTGGCCCGCCTCAGCCTGTCAGTCTCCATGATGATCACTGGCTGACATACAGTATAACCTGCTTGGTGTTGTCAGGCCAGCTCACATCAGCCCCTTAACTAGCTTGCCACACTGCCTTTTGAAGTCCTGGCGGAGACTTGAAATGTTAGGATAGGGCAGATGGGTGAGACGTGTGTGCAAAAAGCTTAGTTGAAGTGTTAATGTGTTAGGTGCTGGTTTAGGACAGCAGGAGTATTGAGGCTCAGAATACATGATCCAGAGGCAGATCATGTTTTCTGAGGGCTGTCGGATTTCTCAACAAGCGAGCCCATCTCACTCACAGTGCACTCTAGGCTGTAAATGTTCAACTAGCGAAATGCATAAAGCTGAAAATGTACTCACATAAGGACATATCGGGATACACAGAATATGAAATAAAAGTGCCACTGTGCACTCTCAACAAAAATTCCTTCTTGTTGTGTGGTGTTTGTGTGTTCATATTTGTGGGTCTGTGTGTGAGAGAGAGACAGGTTGCGTGGGTGTGTGTTTCCACCTGTTACATAACAGAGAGTGGAGGCACAGTGTGCTTCCTTGCCTGCCACACTACAGCGGCTCTTCAGTGGGAGGGAGAGAGGCCACAGCTTTCCTCAGCTTCCACAAGTAGCACTGCTTTTGGTTAAGACACTCAGAACATCACATTGCACCACCGAGAGACACAGAAAGAGTGATGGCAGAGGTTAGAAGGGAGTTCTTCACGTCAAGTAGAAGGTGATTGATGTTAGATGAGTAGGACAACTGAGTGGACTCAAGTGGGGCCTCTGTGGTTGGTCTGAAATGGGTAAACAACAGTAAGCCAAGCTTGTGCTGACTAGTCAGGTGATGAAGTAAATCTTGTATGAGAATGCATATTGGTAGAATTTTTTAAGTATTAAATACATAATGGCCTAAAATTATTTCGAACATTTTTTTTTAAGAATATCAACTAAAGAATGTGGTTCAAAACATGAATAACACTTATCAGTAAATCAGTCAGTGCATGTGACACTACATCAGCAGAGGATCCATTTAGTTGGACAACCAAATTTCTGACGCTGTATGTTTAGGTTGTGCTGAGCTTCAGTGTAAATTGATGCAAAACATAGTTTTGTAACTGCAAAATGTCTTACACTGCTTTATCCTTTTTCATATCTGCTGGTGAAAGTAGTGTGAAGTCAATGGTAATCGTATTTTTGAAATGGGCTGCATTTATATAACATTTTTTAGCTTTCTTTGGAGCAAAAGATTGAGGGGCAGTGGTTGTGTTCAGTGTCTTTCCCAATGACACGTACTTTAACACGCAGTGTGGAGGAGCCATGGATTGAACCAGCCACCTTTCCACGACCAGTGCAACCTCCTGAGACACAGTTGCTCAACTTGGTTATGGCATATGTATAATAATTCTGTTTTACTTGTGATTTTAATATGACAGAATACAACCCTGTTTTACAAAAAGTGTAGCTAAAATGTTAATAAAAGTAGAAGTTAATCATTTACAAATCATTTAAACCCCATGTTCAACTGAAAATTGGAAAGAGGTGACATCAAATGTTGAAACTAAGAACTTTCCTTTTTCTAAAAAACAGTTTTTGAATTTGAAGGTATCAATGTCTCATGAATAGTGAGGTTAAATCCAGAGTCTTTCACAAATACAGATGGTGAGGGGCACAATGCTCTGTGAATCACTGCCTGGGTAAATAGTTGAACAATTTAAGAACAACACATGTTAATATAAAATGGGAATGAATGCTGGCACTTCATCATTTCCATTACTTATCATAAAAATATTCAGATAATCCAGAGAAGTCACTGAATGCAAGCAGCAAGGCCAAAAACCAGTACTAAATGGACAAGAATTTTAGGCCTGTCAGAGACAGGAACAGTGAAACAGTTTTGTATTTCTACAGTTATAATCTGTACCTTAAGACTAATTACTGCAATAACTTAAAGTTACTTTTGTGCAGTTTTTTTGATGGCCAAAAAGTTGGTGTCTTTATAGTGTCTATGTTTGGTCAAATACAAAAGGAAATGAGATAAGATCTCAGAGTTAAAGATTTTACTTTACTTCAGTTAAACAAACAGTATTTAATACACATATAAACCATCACCTCTGTGATTCCATGTGGCTGGTTGATTTTCTCTGGGTCCTCTGGAATACCACAGTTTAAATACATGTGTATCTTTAAACTGCTATTTTATTGTTACAGTGTTACAGGGAAAAAGTAACAATAAATTACACACACACACACACACACACACACACACACACACACACACACACACACACACACACACACACA